TAATGCCTAAGAAGGGAGAAACACCCCATAGCCCAGCTTTGCCACTAAGGAAGTCTGCTTCCTCTGGAAGCCAGTTTAATGCTTTATTAGTGTTAATTGTGGGAATTAAGGGCACCATATATCCTGGTGCAGTTCTCAGCCTCCCTGAGGGGCAGATCTGTTGTTATTGGTCTTTTGTGTGCCTTTGCATTAATAAAATCTATTAGCCCTGAAATGCCGCCTTCCACACAGAAGTCTGGAACTTCACAACCTGTAAGTGGCATTTTACTCAGAGAAATTTTACTCAAGTATCAAACACACACAGAGACATACAAGCTTCAAAACAATAAGGACAAAAAAGATGAGACCCACAGTGTGCTATTGTTCTCTACTTTCATAGATGGGTAAAAGTGCAAAAAGAAGAACCAAAAACCTCTCTCTCAGTCATTCCCCTCAATTTCTCTGATGGAAGAAGTCTGTTTGGATATCCAAGCCTCATATTACCACAATAAGATCAAAACTTCACGTGATTTCAGTGCAAAATTGAACATACCCCTCACTTGTTTTACAAAAGCAAGCAGCATGCCTTGTTTCAGGTGAGCAATTAAGCCGAGCAAATAGAGAACTGGTTTCACTCCAGTGACCAGCAGGTCACTTTGCTGCCCTCTCCCAGGCTCTAGGGCTGCTTAAATCCCTTCTCCTCCCTCCGCTTTGGTGTCACCCTTTGCAGTCAGGAGCACAGCCAACACTGAGCCCGGGCTGCCCGTGCCAATTCATCAGGGCCCCTTGCTCGAGCAACCACTTAACCAGGGAAAGGATGCATTTCTTTTTTGAGGTTTGAAAATCGTACTAAAAGGAACTGTTTCAGTGCCTGCACATAAGTAGTATTTTAAAATGAGGTAAATTATTCTATAATTTTAAGGAAGATAAAATTTTTCTTTCGTTTTCACAACTTCCTACAAATGCTTTTTTTCTGATGTATGCTCTGCATTGATTTTGCAGAGGATGTGTAATTGCAAGACTTGTTTCTGAAGGAGGAAAATGAAACTTTTTATAGCATTTTCAAGCTACTCATAAAAGTACTGTATTTAAGCTAGGCCTAATTTATTGGGTTTATTGGTAGTATTGCTATTGTTATAAGGTTCTAAAATTAAAGGTATCCCATCTCAGGCTGAAAAACCTGTGGAGATCCTCAGCTTTAACAGTAATTTTCTTCTTAATTTTCTTTGACTACAGAACTCAGAATGTCTGTTCTCAGTCCTCCAACATAAGGTAGGAGTATCTCCTAAATGCAAAGCAGCAGAAAAAGAGAATAAGAAAAAAAAGCTTGATTCCCATTTTGTCCAATACCTTTCTCCTATCCCTTTAACATTTTCCTTTGACCCTGAACCTCTTTTTCTTAAAAAAACTCCCATCTTTCCGTGTACTTCTTGTTAGCTCGTGGTTGTAGCCTGACTGTAGGGCACGACCGGTGAATCATAACAGCAAATGTCAGCAGCGAAAGATCTCCAGCAGCCCATTAGCTGTTTGAGTTCATCTTTATTATTTACTGAATGACCGTGAATAATGAACAAGTTGCTCTAAATGATTACAGATTTGTGGCTGAATCTCTATTAAAAAGGGAAAATCAGTTGAAGCAATTACAGAATTTATTTACAAGGAAAAAATTCCCTTTGTCTCATTAATATTACATGGAATAGATGTTGCAACAGTGAGAGAAATAGAGGTAATTGGTGCAAATTGATTAGGGATGCAAAAAATGAAAACTCTGAAATTACAGAGAAGTGAAAGAAATTCTTTCCAAATGCTTCCATGGAGATATCTGCCCTAGTCTTTGTGGGTTAGACTTATATGAACATCAGCGACTTACAGTGTTGGAGATTTTTACCCAAGTTGTGTTTACAGTCAGTATTTAGAGGTAAATTAGGTTAGGTGAATCCCATCCTAGCTAAATACAGCTGATCTTTTGACTGTCAAGCCTAATATGTGCTTGAGTTTGGGCCTAATTTTTTTCTGAGGAAACTGGATCAGGTAAGGAGTGCCACTGGTGCAAAAGTCTGCAGCTTTAGGCATGTCCTTCTCAATGTAAATGATAATTCTGTAGCTATCGTATAAATGGACAGAGAAATCACAAACTGTACAATTGAAGGGAAATACCAGCTCCTAGTACACAGATTGTGTAGCAAACAACAAAAGGAACCTATCCTAAAATAGGAAAGTATCCAAATATTTTTTTCTCTTGACATTGTGGAGCACATGTGGTGACGCCTCTTCATGCATTTACTTGAGCAGTTCTCTAAATCAGATTCCATTTTAGGGTAGTCTTGAGGATTATGTAAGAGCAAATTGTGGTTTTATCTTTCCTGCTTAAAGAAGGAATGTGGTATCAGGAGTCATGTTATCAGGCATTATCCAAAGCCTTATACCTGTTAAAACGTCATGTTCAGCATCATATTTAACTAGCTCTAATTATCTTCTCTCATTGCACAGTCAGAGGTTCCCCAAATTAATATGGCCATTTGAGTATTTTTAGGGAAGAACCTATTAATGCTGGAGGGTTTTTTTACAAAAACATGCTATAACTAAAGCTCATGATGGAAGTAATTTGTAATATTCAATGACCTCATTTTATTCTGTTTTGCTCACTCAATGCTAATGCGTATGATGCCATGTGAAATTCGCAGACAAGCCTGTCTGCAGGACTCATGGGAGCCATAAATGGATTAAACCTCTCACTCCCTACTTTGGCAAGTGATCAGTTACATTTAAATAAAGGTCAGTCTGTCTTTACAAAGAACACACTGAAAGCAAGCTTAATAGCTTTCCCTACTGGGCCTAGAACATAACTATTTGAAGCATAATTAGCAATGGGGTGCCAGTCACTGATTGTGCTTTTTGCTTGATTTTATGTCTGGGGAGTTCCAGTATTCCCCATTAGCTTTAAGAGGGGGCACAGTGCTAGTTATCAAATTGACAGTCTTGACCTGGCCTCTGAAAGCAGCTGTAAAACACTGTTGGGGAAAATTAAGATGAATGCCAAAGCCAGGTCTGTAATACTGCTACAAATTGGACATTTGAGGTCCATGCCACTACTCTAAATAACAAAATAGGCAAAATATCTGATATACATGAGAGTATGGATGGACTTCATTACACTAAACACCAGGTGATAAGGAGGTACACCAGCTGTCCTATTGTCTCATCTTATGAGCTCTGTATTGTGACTTCTTTATAAAATACTCCATACCTATTCTTTTCAGAATAACAGAGTGACCAGTCTGCCATCTGTCAAAATACAGATTTCAAGAAGGGTGGAGTGAATCAGCAACAACTGCCCCTACAGTAAAAGGTGCTGACCACAAAAGGGTTATTTTGTGAAGTTAATCAAATATTTAGCCTGTATGAGGCATTTAAGAATAAACATGGTTATAGACTCACAGCATCACCGAATGGTTTGGGCTGGAAGGGACCTTCATGATCATCTAGTTCCAACATCCCTAATATATCTTGTGGTGTTCCAGTTCTTTAAAATACCTCATTTGCTTGGCGTTTATGGACTGGTATTTATATCCCTGGTAGCAAAAGTGATAATTGTCTACAGGGGAAGAGAACAGAGCTGATACAGCAAGTTTGGTACTCTGCAGACAGCCTGAAATTCTAAGAGAGACCTGTGAATTACCTTGACCTTCCTGACTGGAGCATCAGCTTCAAAAGTTCAGTGATTGCACTTCAGTGTTATCAGCAACTAATTTAGCACTGATCATTTTATCTACTACTATCAGAAAAGATGGGTAAGAGCAAAACACAGTGGACTGACTTTTGGGAATTTCTGGAGATAATCCAAGAGCAGACCAGAGAAGCAGACAAGTGACAGCAAAATCAGCAAAAGAATAAGGAGGAGGAGGAATTAAAATGCAGCAAAGAGGCTGGGATTATATGGAAAAGATATCTTAAGTAAAGATGAACGTTATAATAAATTATTATGAGAAAATATTACCATCTCATATTTAAGTGTGATACAAAGACTATATTCTGTTTATCTCTGTGTAAATCATCAAACTACATTTACTTTAGCTCCTCTCACCTGGTAGATGGTGAATGGCTGCATTCCCAGCTCAAGATCACTACCAGAGAGCAGAGGTCTGTGTCCTCCAAATGCATCTTCACAACATAACAACTGTAAGAGGAAGATGACCAACCAGGGATTAAAATAAAAGCATGCACTTTTCCTGATTCACCTGCACTTGGGGGTTAAAGACAGGATTTTATACCATTCCTTTTGTGAATGGTATATCCATTTTAAGAGTCAGTTAAATACATTACAAAATGTAGGCATTGCCAAGAAATATAGGGCTGTATTTGGTTTTATAAGCTCTCAGATATATAAAGAAGACTAATGCCTTAAGCAGCTCCATATCAGTTTTACTATTCTCCTTCTCTAAAATTTATTTGTTCTTTTATTGGTTTGTTTCATTTCTAGGATTTCTTTTTCCTGATGGAAAATTTGTACAGGAAGTGGAGAAATCAGGAACGGGTTTAATTGATCATTTTCAGTTTATGTGGAATTTTCATTTTTTACAGATTTTCTACAATGCAGCCAACTAATGCTGTGCTTCCAGCATAGGCACTTCAAGGTCGTATTTCTTTGTTTTTCACCACAGGTCAGATATCATCACCAGGAAAAACTAATTTGAAAGCATCTTCCATCACAGGCATTCGGAAATAATGAAACAAAACAGCCAAGCAGAGTAAAAAAACCCTGTTTCTTTAACCCTTGAATCCTGTGCCAGCAGTGCAGAACTCTCCTCAAGCTCTGGCAGTAAGGCTTGCTAGGCAGGTAGGAAATGCACTCCTGTGGTTTACACCTCCATAATCATTTCTCTCTTCTACAGGACATTTCCTTCAAGCACTGGTAGCATCCAGCTGTGTCTCCTTGGAGCCTTTTAGCATGTGAACGTTACTTTCTTCTGTGTAATTCGGGATTTGAATACATTAAACACTGCCTTTGTTCTCTATTGTAGGTCATGGGTTGTATGGGACTTTTGAAATGTTGTCCTCCTGGAGAAAAACTAGAGAAGACCAACACGTTAAAGAGAGGACTGCAGCTGTATTTGCAGACTCCATGCTCTCGTTTTCTCTCACCACTGCCATGTACCTGGTCACTTTTGGAATAGGTGCCAGTCCCTTCACTAACATTGAAGCAGCCAGGATTTTCTGCTGCAATTCCTGTATTGCAATTTTCTTCAACTACCTCTATGTACTCTCCTTTTATGGTTCCAGCCTGGTGTTTACTGGCTACATAGAAAACAACTACCAGCATAGTATCTTCTGCAGAAAGGTACCAAAGCCAGAGGTATTGCAAGAGAAGCCTGCATGGTATAGGTTTCTTCTGACAGCCAGATTCAGTGAGGACACGGATGATTCAGAGGAAACGAACACTTACGAGAGTCATCTTTTGGTGTGGTTCCTGAAACGCTATTATTGTGACTGGATAACAAACACTTACGTCAAGCCTTTTGTAGTTCTCTTTTACCTTGTTTATATTTCCTTTGCCTTAATGGGCTACCTGCAGGTCAGTGAGGGGTCAGACCTGAGCAACATCGTAGCGACTGCGACTCGGACCATCGAGTACACAACTGCCCAGCAGAAGTATTTCAGTAACTACAGCCCGGTCATTGGGTTCTACATCTACGAGTCAATCGAGTACTGGAACACCAGTGTCCAGGAGGACGTGCTGGAGTATACCAAGGGCTTTGTGAGGATATCTTGGTTCGAAAGCTACTTAAATTACCTTAGGAAACTCAACATATCTACTGGATTGCCGAAGAAGAATTTCACTGATATGTTGAGGAACTCCTTCCTGAAGACCCCTCAGTTTGCCCATTTTTCAGAGGATATCATCTTTTCCAAGAAATACAACAATGAAGTTGATGTTGTGGCCTCCAGGATGTTCTTGGTGGCCAAGACAATGGAAACCAAGAGGGAAGAACTTTATGACCTCCTGGAGACCCTGAGGAAGCTCTCTCTCACCTCCAAGGTGAAATTCATCGTTTTCAATCCATCATTTGTGTACATGGATCGTTATGCCTCTTCAGTGGGAGCCCCCTTACAAAACTCCTGCATTAGTGCTTTATTTCTGCTCTTCTTCTCTGCATTCCTGGTGGCAGACTCTCTGATCAATGTCTGGCTCACTCTAACTGTTGCCTCGGTTGAATTTGGAGTTATAGGTTTTATGACCTTGTGGAAAGTGGAACTAGATTGTATTTCTGTGTTGTGCTTAATTTATGGAATTAATTATACAATTGACAACTGTGCTCCACTGTTATCAACCTTTGTCCTGGGCAAAGAGTTCACAAGAACTAAATGGGTGAAAAATGCCCTGGAAGTGCATGGGGTAGCTATTTTGCAGAGCTACCTCTGCTATATTGTTGGTCTGATTCCTCTTGCAGCTGTGCCTTCAAATCTGACCCGTACACTGTTCAGGTGCTTGTTTTTAATAGCATTAGTCACCTTCTTTCACTGCTTTGCCATTTTACCTGTGATACTGACTTTCCTGCCACCCTCCAAGAAGAAGAGGAAAGAGAAGAAGAATCCTGAAAACCGTGAGGAAATAGAGTGTGTTGAAATGGTGGATATGGATAGCACCCGAGTGGTTGACCAAATTACAACAGTCTAACTTGATTTGTTGGTTGCTTTTTTACACTAGGTCTTACTGAGAAAAAAAAAAAAAAAAAGAAACCAGTACTGACTAAATGTGTGGGGACAGGAAGATTGGAGGTTTTCCCCTCCCTCCTCTAAGCTAAATCCAGGAATATTCAAAATTATGGGAGAAATTAAAAATAAATTTTAAAAAAATAAAAAGAGCTGGGGTATTGTACCTTGCTCAGTTCCTGTAACAGGTAATATGGGAGAATTTGCACACCCATGCAAAGAGAGGTTAAATTTTAGATGCATGAAGTAAGATCTAATGGAAGAAGTTGGGTTCTTAAGCAGTCGTCTGCATCGCCTGTACTGCAGATGCTGCAATTATTGTGGCTAAACCAAATCATGTTGAAAGGTCAACTGTCAAGGCTGAAGTAGCACTAAATGTTCGCTGGATGTAAAGGCTTTACAAACTTTCTGCACAGCAATAACTCAAGTCAGTGAGTCAGCTCTTATAAGTCTTTGCCATCACATTTAATATTTCTTTTCTCCCCTAATCTAAACATTTATGCAAGACTATATTAAAGATAGCAAACTGTACTGGGAAAGAAGGCAGTACACAGCAACCAAGTGCTTTCCAAACACCTTTATGTTATGAATCTTTTTTTTTTCTAAAAGTATCATTATTTTAAAATTGAAAATCATCCCTTGTAACATTTTTAATCATGGTTTTATAGCTGTTTCTTTTTCTTATAAAAACAAAAAAGAACAAAAAAAGGAACAAAAAAATCCATGTGACTCTGTCACTCTAGAAAATATATAATTCTATTTTATACATGTCTCGCTACTAGTTAAACATGTAATCTGCTTTACCAACTGTAATTTTGTTAGCACTCTACTAAGACATGTGAGTGGATCTAGCAGCAGACAGAAGATGGTGTACTGAATATTTCAGCACCACAATCCATGATACAAACCTCAAATACTAAAATGTCATCAAGAAAGTGAATGTTAGGGCTCTTTTAGTGAGAGCCTATTTCAGGCCATTCACTGGTAATGCACACTAAGAGGATTAGTGGGCAGTTTTACATAATGTATAACTTAATCCCTCAATCTTCCTAGAGTACCTGTAAAGCAATAGACCTTGCAGCTATGGGCTCTTCCAGGAGACAGTAGACAGTAAGAGTTGTGTGGAACAAACTGAAGGTTGGGACTGGTTTAGCAGCAGCAGGTTTAACAGTGTCCCCAAAGAGCCCATATCTAAGGGGCCTATTAAAAATATCACATGTGAGAGGGAAAAAAAAACCCAACCCCAAAAAAAAAAAAAAAAAACCAAAAAAAAAAAAACTTAAAAAGATTACACTACCGAGTCTTTTTGGAGCCATGAGTTCTAAATCAATAATTCTGTCAGCATCTGTGATGTGGAGTAAAACAGATAAAGCAGCATCTCTTCCCTCCTCCGCCCCCTCCACCCTTGAGAGCAACAGGCTCATTACTGTAAGGTTTTATCATGTGGTTGAACCCCAGTGGGGATATGTAAGCCAATTCTGTAGGTTTTGCTGAGTATTCTGACCATACATTGCCTGTGAAAGCCCAGCAGCAGGAAGCTGGCTGGTGTGTGTCGGGTGGTTTCGTACGGACTGTTGCCGTGTGGTGCAACATGAATGTATTCCAACCAGGCTCCCTTTTGCAGCTCATCTGGAAACTAAGAGTACTTGAAAAGTTTTCAGCATCTGGCACAAAGTTTGCTTCAATGACAGTATCTGGAGGGGAAGGGGTATTGCAAGAGCCATGGGGCTTGGAGCACTGGGAGCACCGTGGCTCGGGAGGCTGCCTGTGGTACTGAACAGTCACTAGGATGTCTGTGCTCACAAACCAGGATGTGCTTCTTTACATGAAATGTCTCTATACCATCCAAATCCCAGCGACCCTCAAATGCCCTGTACAAAACCTGCAAATGCCACCTACTGAATATTAATTTTCCAGCAAAAAGATATTTCTGAAGCAACCTTCCTAGCAGAAAATAAGATAACCAGATATTTTGCCCTGAAGCAAAGTATTACTTTCTCACTAGCAAAAGAAATCAGCAGAGCAGCTGGCAACATTTACTTTCCCCTGGATAAGTCCCTTCCCTGACCAGAAGAAAGGAAGCTGTGTCCAGGAATGCACAGGCTCTTTGCTTAAGTAAACAACAGTTGCTTCAGTAGCAGCTGGGAAGCTGTAACAACAACTTCAGCCTTGGCAGAACACAGGCAGACACCTTGAAGGCAGCCAAATGAATGTAAGGCTAGGAAAAAGATCTGTTTCCCCTGTTTTTTTAGACTCAGGCTTGGGGCTATGTTTTCCAGCCAAAAAAATATTCCTTAAATATACTTCATTGTAGATTTTCTGTAATCGTCAGTATGTTGTTTAAATACCAGTCCCCCTGTCCCCTGGCTGTTCAACAGGCAGCTGCAGTGGCTTTTAAACTTCTGAGGGCATTAGCAAACTAGCTGAGAGTTACAGAGGAGCTGCAATTCCTCTGCAGTGGTCTGCTGACTTGTGCGACACTTGGAAATGGGCCATGTGTCAAAGAGGTTGTTTGTACACTGCCGAGAGGAATACATGGCAAACACTGATTTTACACCTCTGCTCTCCCTCATGCTATTCACTTGCAAACACCAGGCGCCAAGATAGTTACCATAAACCTCCTCACATCTAATTGCAGTGCATAGACAGGAGCATCTTTAAAGAGATGTCCAAAGACGAGCTTGCAGTTTCACAGATCTCTTATTAAATCTCACCATGTGAGGCCTTCAGAGATCTTCAAGAAAGGTGATGAAACCAGAGATAAAATTACTTCTGTATCTCCAAACCTGTCAGAAAGAGGATATGGAGGCATTCCTGTGACAAAGTGCTGCAGAAGAGGTTTGAGTGTCCACAGAAGGCAGGGTGAGAAGTCATGCAGTGCACACCCTTGCCCCCAGGGCAGAATCGACAACAATTAAATAATTTCTGAAAGATGTTTGTCCAGCCCATTCCTAAAAGTCTTTTTAAGGGCAGATTCCTTTCCCAGTAATTCCCCCCCAATGCCATGTTACCCTCTCTAGTAACCAGTAACTCCTGCTAGCCGTCCAAGACTGGGATGGAGAAGAGGAGCTGTGCCCCTGTCTACACAGGAATAGGACAGGCAGGAGACTGGAGCATCCCCAAAAGAGACAAAACCCAGAATAGAGCCAAAACCAACTTACATACATTTTTCACTGTGTTTCACATCAAGCTGCCATTCTGTTCCCCAGCACTGGCAAGGTAGAGCCATGGAAGTGTCCAAGGTGCACTCAGCCCAGGTCCATGAGACTTCGGCCTGATGGGTCTGAGGGATGCACCAAATGCTCCTTCTCTGCAGGTAGCTTGAATACCTCAACATGAACCACGTTCTCAAGGTTTCAGACTATGCTAAGCCACTTTGGCCTTCCTCCCCTTCAACTTTTTCCTCTGGAGCAATTATCTCCACCAAAGTCAATGGACCTCCCTGCACTGATTGATTAGTAGGTGCAGATGCAGCGCTCTGTTCTCAGTCCAAAGCACTCCCAGTGGCTAACTGTGCGTGAGATTTTACCTTTACTGGTGAACCTCCAGTTTGGAAGACTACCTAGGCTTAAGCAGATTTTTGTCATACTTTTATGTGGCTTTTTAGCCCAGGTATCACTGTGGTTTTGTTTGCAATATAGATGATCCAATTTTTTATAAAGGCAGTGAGTAGAACAGAGTATTATACACTGTCAGGCACTGACTAAAATCTAACAGTGAAAATTTTAGCTAAGGCTAACAAGACTATGTAGGACTATGGCTCACTGAGCACATATATCTTCTACAAACATTAAAATTCCCATACAGTAAGGTATGGTGTACAGTATATTTTTATTACATGGTAAGCATGGGGAAAAAGAGCCAACCTATGCATATGGCCCTCATATGGCATATGGCCCTCAAGATCAATCCAGTTTTCTTGTAATATAACTGCTGATATTGTGCTAGCACAAGTCCACTTTCAATTTACAATTACTCTAACTGGAGAAAAAAAATAAAATTTGTTATAGCTGGAATAACTATGCCATAAACATTAATTGATGAAGACAGAATTTTCTGCTTGTGGAAGTGTTCTAGTTAGATTAAAATTAGAGCTGGAATTGTTGAGAAAAACCTATCTGTCAAAGAAAAATAACTTCTTTTCCAAAGACAAGCAAATACACTTATTATGGTCAACTTCATCAACCTGGAGGGAATACAGTACCAAAGTGGCCTGAGGTTATGTTGAGTCACGAGAGGATTCACATCTGCTCTCAGAAGCCTTCTGAGCCAGCGCTGAATTCAGGTAAAACATGTACTGTAAATTGAAAGGTGTACTTTTAAATGTTTCTTTCTAGGCTGACTGTCCTCCTGTGAGCCATGAAATCCCACATCAGCCAACACCTTTATTTTTATTCAAAGGGAAAACAAAACTAAGTGATGGCACGACTGGGCAGAGATCAGGGGAGTCCAGAAGGAAGACTGGCTTCTCTGAAAGCCAGAGAGAGCCAGCAAAGCAAGTGGGTTGTGGGAGAAGACCTGGTGACTTCAAAACTTAGCAAAATGGTGTTTTTTCCTACTTTGTTAACTCAGAATGCAAATAGTGTGTTCAGGGAGCCACGGGGAAGGGAAGCTGAGTAAGCAGGAGTCAGCTGTGGGTTTGCTGTGCACTCCAGTTACAGTCGCTCCTCTGGCATGGTTGGGAATTGTCAGCAGGATGGGAATTGGGAGGGGCAGGGCTGACACTGCTGTGTGGGCACTGGGGATGCCAGACCAGGGACTGTGGTGGTGCCATTTCCCTTGTCCCCATCCCACAGCCCTGCCCAGGGTTCCCAGGGTGTGCAGCCTGCAGAGAGCATCAGCTGCCGTGCAGGAACAGTTCCTCACGATTCTCACACTGTGGCAGCACTGCTGGTGGGTTTTGCTGAACCAGTGCTTTCATGGTGAGGCACAAGCCCCGTAGGAAACCACTTTCTGGAAGCTCTTGCTTAGGAAGAATTACCCAGAGCCTTTTCCTCCCCTGCCTTTGCACATGTTAAAATCCTGATCCATAAAAATCAGATTGTACAATTTACCTATGTAGGGACAAAGTGTATTTCTTCCATGGCTTTATCCCTACATTTATCACTAAAAGTACCTGTAATTCGTTTTCTTATAAACATTGTGAAATAAGTAAGCCTTTCTGGGGTACACACAAGTCTGATGAGAAGGAGGTGGGCAGAGCCCCCTCCCTTTCCCAAAGGTAAGAAGCATCTTCCACCCATGGCAAGGCACTACACCATAGCTGCAGGGCACCCCTAGTAACCCCAGCTCAGTGCAGTGGGGAGGGCAACCTTATTCCCCCTCCCCAACCTTATTAGAGAGCAGGGAGAAGCTTTAACTCCAAGCTGTGGGGGGAGATGAGCCCCCAGGAAGCCCTTGTGAAACCCACTCACTGCCAGGAAAGCGCAGTGGCACTTCTTGTTTGGTTGGGTTTTTTTTGAGAAAGAGATGGCAAAAGTATCCCAGGAGGGCATTTGAACACAAATTCCTCTCCATGGTGCGTGGGTTGGAGCAGAATGGCATGCCCTGCCATGCCACCCCTTGCCCTGTTGTCCTGGCACAGCTTCCTGCCTGGAGAGAGGGCACCTCAGCATCACGTGCGCCTGCCTGGGGCAGCCGCTTCTCAGGCACAAATCGTTCTGATGTCGTTGGCATTCTGCAAGTCATTACCTTTTTTTTAATTTTTGGGAA